AAGTATTTTATTATTAGCAAAAACAAAACAAGTATTTTATTACCAAATATTCACCTTTACTGTTTGTTAACTAAATGAGACATTTAAGAGAGGAATAAATGATAGTTTAGACAAATACAGATCTTACGGTTAACGTTATTAAGCTAGAATTTAGATATAGATTTGTTTAAAACTTGAAAAAGAATTTTTAAAGTTGTTTTGAAAAATATTTTTTAGAAGTTGAAGTTGTGTTTGGACATGTGTTTTATGAGGAAAAATTGAAATTTTGTGAGTTGAAGAAATTTTTTTACCCAAAAACTATCCTAAACCAGTTTTGGGAACTTGAAATTTTGTTTCAATTTTTTTTCCAAAAATTGATCATATTCCTTCAAAAAAGGTACATTTTTAGTATGAATCCTTTATTTGTTCGGAGTTCGGAGAAGCAGTAAAGTGTTGAATGTCACGATCCAAAATCCAACTAGTCGTGATGACACTTAACTCAACCCGCTAAGTAAGCCAATTAGCAACAATCCAATTCAAATAAGATTTACTAAGAAAATAAATGATGAAATAATTAAACTTTTATACAAAATCCCAAGGACTAGTAGTACCAATCATGAGCTCCTAAGATTTTGAGTTTACAAAGCTAGTATGAAATAAATACATCATCTGTTCGAAATATACATAAAGAGATTATAAATCTAAAGCTACCAAGAACAAGAGGCAGCTATAACCGGAACGCAAGTACATCTTCAATGCCAACTCCTGCAATACACAACAACATTAGCTCCAAAATCTGCACGCAAGGTGCAGACGTGTAATATGAGTACAACCGACCACATGTACTCAATATATAAGTAACAAACCTAACCTTAAGTTGAAATCAGCAACGAGCTTGGACAACGGTTAGAGTCTAACACCAATAGTCAAGAATAACTCGTAACAATATAATAAGAGCAATACAAGTAATAACTCAAAGATATGATGCTCAACTCGTTCACATTTACGAAAAATAGGCATGTATTTCAAGTATAACAGTAAAACCCAAGTCTTTCACCGAAATCACCAAAATATGAGTATATCAGAAAAAATGTGATTTTTTCCAAATATCTTCAATAACAGATAAGATGTTTCATTATCAGATAGCATAATAAAAGTATATCTCTATGCCTACATGTATGCATGAGAAGTCATGAATGTCACAATACCGTATAGCATGAGGAAATGCATCTTTATGCCTACATGCCAAGTATGCATGTCAAACGTAATGCACCACAGTGATAAACTCATGTACTCACACTCTCAAAGTACTCAATCTCAAAGTCTCACACTCAATCACACGGTACACTCAATCACTCGGCACTCAGTCACTCGACACTCGATACCTGCGCTCACTACTGGTATGTCACACTCCAGAGGGATGAATCCTGTCCAAGCGCTAATATAAGCCAACATGGCATGCTGCGGCGAGTAGCCCAATCCCATCATGAATCAATAAAACCTGCTGCGGCGTGCAACCTGATCCCATCATGAATAAATAAAACCTGTTGCGGCGTGCATCTCAATCCCATCAATATCACTCACAAACCGGCCCTCAGGCCCCAACTCAGTCATCAATCTCTCAAGTCTCTCAGGCTCACAAATGTCATGCCAATCACCCCAAACAATGATAATATGATGTGATAACAAATGATAACAGAAACTAAGATATGATATGCAAATGAATGAATATGACTGAGTATGTAATTACAATTTAAGAAAATAACTCAACAGCAGAATGACCTCAATGGGTCCCAACAGAATAAGTATATAGCCTAAACATGATTTCTAACTTGGATCACAGCTCAATTACTTTAACACATAGGAATTCCATGGATAGAAACAAGATTAGAAAATTACACAGTACCACAAAATCAACCGAGTCACAATTTTCGCGATGCACGCCCATACGCCCGACACCTAGCATGTGCGTCACCTCAACACTAATCACATAACATGTATTTAAGGGATTCATACCCTCAACACCAAGTTTAGAAGTGTTACTTACCTCAAACAAGCCAAATCTAATACCGAGCAAGCTAAACAATGCTCTAGAAATGACATCCCACGCGTACTGACCTTCGTATGGCTCGAAACTAGCCAAAAGCAATTCAAGAACATCAAATAATGCCAAAGGAAACAAACCCAATCGATAGGTAGAATCTTTAATTAAAAGCCCAAAGTCAACCAAAAAGTTAAACTCGGGCCCGCATCTCGGAACCTGACAAAACTCACAAATCCAATAACCCATTCAATTACGAGTCCAACCATACTAGTTTCACTAAAATCCGACTCCGAATCGATGATCAAAACTCAAAAATTCACTTTATGAAAGTTTAGATAAAAACCCCCATTTCTCTTTCAAAATCAATAATCAAATGCCAAAATCTAAGATGGATTCATGAAATATAATCAAAACTGAGTAGAAAATACTTACCTCAATCCATATAGTGAAAATCGCCTTAAAATCATCTCAATCCGAGCTCCATAGCTCAAAATATGCTAAAATGTCCGAAACATTCGAAATATAGTACTTTATACACTATTCCAGAAGTACCCTTCGCGATCGCGGTCACAAACCTCGTGATCGCGATAACTAAATTTTCAAGGACAATTTTTACCCTATGCAATCATGGCTATTTTCCTGCGATCGCGATAAACAAACTTCCATTAACCCTTCCCAAACTCTTCTGAGACAACCTGTAGTGTCTCAGCCATAACTTTTTATACGTAACTCCAAATAACAACCGGTTTGATTTTCTGATAATTTAGACACAAAGGGCTACAACTTTAATTTTTGGATCATCTCTAAATTTCTTATAGATTGAAATATATAAGATTCCAAAGTCGGGTGAGTGACATCAGAATTTTTCTCTACGCGATCGCGAAAAGGTTTCCACGATCTCGATTCACAGTGTTCAAACATTAAATTTGCTCTTCGCGAACACAATCCAAAGTCCGCGTTCACGATGCACACCCCTGTGGCCAAAAACCCACAACTAAAAAAGGCCTAGAAATGGTTCGAAACTCACCCGAGCCCCTCGGGACCCCGTCCGAATATACCAACAAGTCCCAAAACATAATACAGACCTATCCGATGCGTCAAATCACACATAACTACATCAAAATCACGAATCATAGATCAAGATCAATCTCTTAAGTTCATAAACTTAAAACTTCGAACCAAGCGTCCGATTCAAGTCTAACCAATCCATAATGAACCCCAATTTTGCATACAAGTTTCAAATGACATAACTAACCTATTCCAACTCCCGGAACAATAATTCGAATGCGATATCATCAAGTTCAACTCTCGGTCAAATTTATGAACATTATAAACCTTCAAATTTCCAACTTTCGTCAATTAGTGCCGAAACCTTCTAGAAATATCCAAATGCAAATCCGGGCATACGCCCAAGTCCAAAATCACCATCCAGACCTAACGAAATCATCAAAACTCTGATCCGAGGCCAAATACTAAAAAAGTCAAACTTGGTCAACTATTCAAACTTAAAACTTCCTAATTGAGAATCATTCTTCCAAATCAATTCCGAATCACCTGAAAACCAAAACCCACGATTCACACAAGTCATAATACATCATACGAAGCTACTCAAGACTTACAATAGCTGAATGAAATGCAAATGCTCAAAACAACCGGTCAGGTCGTTATAGTCAACTAATACAATAAGTTTGTTTTTCTTTTAATAATGATCATCTTATATAACAGAGTTATAAGTGATTAAGGGAACGACAAGGAGGGAGCCATATATAGTTGATGGCTTGCATGCGTCCTTAGATTTGTTTAATCGCATGTTTTTATTGCGTACAAAAATGAAAACTAAAAAAGTGCTTATTTGGCTTCTCCTGTTACTGTGCTAATTTTGCATCTTTTCTTCTTTTGGTTAGCCAGCCAGATATTAACATTTTTAAACCAAAGGTTGTCGTCATAGTTTTCCCCATTTGGAAAGCTCCTTTGCTCAGCTGTCACTGTCCACTCCATTTGCTCTGTACTTTTTCCTATGCTTTTCGGAAGGTTAATGTCATAAGAGAAACTATCAAAATGGAAAATTCCGCTTTTCCATATGGTAGTGGTAGGATCATGGATGATGGTTCCTTTTCAAACTAAAGAACTTTAAGCCTATTTCTGCGAAGGATTTTATTTATATACATAAACAATGTACATAACTTAAGCTCTTCTATAAAAGAAATTCAATCAAAATTATTAACTTGTGATCGTTGTAAACATTCATAAATTTAAAATTCTACATCGTGTATACCTAGCATGCTTTCACCTATATCCGTAGCTAAAGACAAGGAGCTAAGTCCAAGATAAGTATGCATATTGTCCAAATATTTTTCTTAAAAGAGAAAGAAATAAGAGCATGAAGTTCAGTTGTGGTTCTTTGCTATCGGGCTGTGAAATGGAGTAAATAAATGAGCATCAACAATAATTGCACATGCATGTTGACTGGAAAATATTGAGTTGTTGCTTCTGGTTGTATATAAACTATTTACGTGTAAATTTGAGATTTTGCTGAAATACCATTTGATTTGTGTATCATAGTGTAATTAATAGGGTGGAAAACCATATAATTTCTGTGTGGTAATATATCATGTTAGAAATATATATATTGCTGTCAAAACTTCCTATTTTTGACTCTTTCAACAATTCATTTTCGTGCTGAAAATGGGTTTAAAGGGGAACTAAGTTCTGCGCTTAAACATACATTCAAAATAAGAGAAGAATCGAAGGGTTTGGGGGACCATCGCTTATGAAATAAATTTTTACAATAACACAACAATCTACTAATTAATACTTTATTTGAGATACATAATTTCACTACAATGAAGTAAAATTTTAGGATGAAACTAATATGCGAGCTCTAGCAAGCCCTTGGATTTACAGGAAACAATATAATGCAAACATTATAAAAGACTAAAGTATTACTTTTGCGTGTACATATATATGTAAAACGTATCTAGAAATTAGGACCAATCTTATCGTTGTGAGAAGAATGACCAATACCGGGGCTGTGTCCTGTGGCCTCGCGATCATCTCCTTCAACTGTACTGGAAGTGTCCCCAATTAGTGTCTTTGGTTGCTTAGAATTATTTGGTTTAGGGCCTTTAGAGGAATGTCCCATACCAGGGCTATTTCCTGTTTCTGTAGTTCGGAAATTATTTCCTGAATTAATTACAACAACTGAATTTTGGTCCAGTGATGTTGGTGTGGGATATTGTCTTCCTTCAGTGAATAGAACTTGATGGCATGCAATTATTGCAAGAAAGAAAGTAGTAGAACAAAAATGTTGGATACAGGCCATAACAAGAAAGGGTAAGAGAAATTTTCTGAAGAGGTTTGCTAATTAATATGATATGGTTGTAAGAATATTGCCTCTCTCTTTTGTTTGTGAGTGAAACACACTTGAAGGAAAGAGGGGATTAATCAGTGTTCCACAAGGTTGTTATTTAGGGATTAATTTGAGTGAAGATATTTTCCCTCGTCCATTTCTTTGTATATATATATAGGCATAGGATACACACACTACATTGTAAGGATCTTAATATTTAATAACTAGTTAATTTAAAAGTAGTCTCTTAATGGCAACATCAATTTGGATGGTTCATGGACCTTCAAAATGTTACGAAATGCTTTTTAATTACTACTTGTTTAGTAAACTGTCTCTTCTAATTAAAGATCTTTAATATAATCATGTGTTGCCATTTTCTAGTCATATATGCAGCATTGGAGTTCTCGCAGTGTGAATTAAGTACGTAAGAGTTATAATAGTCTTTGGCTCTTTGCTGCAATTGCTCATGCTGCTTTATGATTTGTAATGAGTTTAACTTTGACGTGTAAAATAATTTTTATAGTATCGAGACACCTAAATGATAACTACAGCTAACTATTTGTAAAGTAAAGTTAGTTATCTAAGACAACTACCTTCTACAAAAGTAGTTAAAAACATTAATATTCATGTATAGATCTAAGTTAGTAACTTGAAATTTTAGGCATATAGTATAATATTAATGGAACTGGGTCAGTCAGCCTTCCTACCACTGAAATTCACCATCAAAAGACTGGATTCTTCAGTACTTCCCACTTGGTTGTGCCTTTTTTTAAAAATAATCTGGATGGCTTATATGCAAGTTCCTACTCTTCTTAGTCAACAATTAACGGAATGAAATGTTTTTTAAGTTATAACAGAATTAATTATAATTTGTATAATTTACTTTATGTTTTAGAGTGTTTTTAGAAGAATATCACTTTTTATATTTACGTTTCTTTAGTTCCAACGTCCACATGACACGTTTAATACCGCACGATTCAAAGTGCATTTTGGTATGGACGTCTTTAAAATTATTTTAAGACCGCAAGATTATTATTTTTTTTTTAACTTTTTAAAACTTCGTGTCCGTTAAATTAAGGCACATAAATAAAATAGAACGTAAGGAGAATTTGTTATGTGTGTGTATTTATTTGTGGGAGGTTGGTGGGTATGGAAAGGGGACAGTGGCGGAAGCATGATATACACTACTAGAAATTCGGAAAAAACTGACCGAGCGATACCGACCAACGTTGGTCGGTCAACAAAAGCGACCAAAAAAATGTCCAAAACAGACGAAAACTACCAAAAAAATATTTTACATTTTTTAAAAATTACATACCGACCGAAATTGGTCGGTATATTGGTCAAACATTTGATCGCAGTGGTCAGACTTGCTTAGTCAAAGCACTTTTTTTTTTATTATCGACTAACATCAGTCGGTAATGTGGACCCATATTTTTAAATTTTAATAATTATATTATTATTTAAAATATTTTATAAAATCTATAGTTAAATTTACCGACCAAAGTCAGTCGGTTATTGTAGGGGAAGATTTTACCGACCAACTTTGGTCGGTAGATGTAAATTCTGGAAAATAACTGACCAACTTCGGTCGGTTCATAGGTCAAACATGGTCAAACTTTTGCATCACATTAATATTTACTATCTAAATAATATAAATGTAATTCGTTAACACTTTATTTTGTAATACAAATAATGAATACACTAACATATACTATAACAAGCTATATATAGTTAAAGTAGTACAACAAAGTGTGTGTGTGTGTGTGTGTATATATATAGGTACAGCTGCATCTAACAACGTGAAGCGCTAGGGCCAAAGAGTTGGGTTCTTTTGGGGATAGACTTGTGAAGAAGCAATAATCTAATTAGTATATATAATTGATCATCATCAATATATCTATTTGTAAATTGATTTATCGACTTATAACTTACTTAGATGCATCGATGAATATTAAAAACAAAACGTCTCGACCTATATTGATGAATTTTAAAAACAAAGTGTCTCGACCTATATCGATTAATCTATGTCATGCATTATTAGTGACGAATGAATGAAATATAGAAGAATTAATACTAAACATTTTTGACATATATATATGGATCACAAATTAAAGAAACGAAAGAAGTTATTAGCATTAAGTAAACGGGTTAATATAACAATCGAGTAAATATATTTAAAATAGAATAATATTGGTTTATCAATTCATCAATTGATAAGTTTCCGTATGTAGTAATGTATGTGATTGATCATCAATTACAATAAAATGTATGTATATGTGAAATTACTCATATACTTAATTATAATTTAGAAAATTAACTTAGATAGATGAATACAAAAGGTAAAATATCTTGACCGATATTTATTAATCTATGTAATTTATAATTAGTTATAAAACAAATGAATATATAAGACGAAATGTGGAATTGGAATAAAATAAACGTCTCATATATATACCTTTATATTCTCTTATTATGATTGATTAATTATATATATGTGTGAATAAAATATATGCGTATAATTTATTAAAAGTAATTAGTTAATATAATTATTTATAAAGATTATGCTTATAGTTTATAATTATTTATAGTAAATATATATGTGAATAAAATAAATGCTTATAGTTTATAATATTTTAAGAAATAAGAACACAAAAAAATAATTTAGTTTTTTTATAAAAATAAGCGACCGAAGTTGGTTGGTTAATGGTCAAACACAGTCAACGCGTTGTCACTTAGTGTACCGACAGACTTTACAGACCAACTCGGTCGGTAATTCTAATTCCAGATCCCAAATACGGGATTTCTCCCTCATTTCTCTTACCATCTTCTCAAAATTTTCTAACTCCCCACTCTCTTCTCCCTCACACACACAATACCCTTCCCCAACTCATTCTCTATTTCCCTCACATAAATCCCATTCCCACCTCAAGTCGCCACTGTCCCCCGCCGCCGCCGCTGCCCGTTGCTACGACCTCCACTGCCGCCACTGCCACTGCCCCTCTCGCTCCACCTCCTAAAAATTTTAGGTTTCGATTTGAACTTACATTGTTTGTATAATTTTAATATTTTGTTATTTCGTTATGAATTAGTTAATTATTGTTTAAATTTAAATTTTATTGAAATCTAGGGTTTAGGTCATGTTAAAATTGAATTGAATTGAATTGATTACCTAGGGTGTAAATTCAATATTTAAGTTTGTATTAACTTGAGTAGTTTAGTTAGGAATTGAATGTTTGACTTTGAATTGAGTTGTATTTTTAGGATTTGTTCTTGTGAATTGAATTTTTAGGGGTAAGTGTTGAACTTTTCGGATCGAGCTTATGTTGTGTGAGGTTAATTGAATTGTTTAGGGTATGAGTTAAACTTTTAGGATATGAATTGAACTTTTAGGGGATTGGTTAAACTTTTAGGGATAATTGTTGAACTTTTTGGGTGTAATTGTTAAAAATTAATTATCTTAATTAACTAAAAATGATTTAATTAATTTATAATTGCAGAATAAATTAAGTAGTTGTAATACCTATGAAAATATCTCATTTTTTTATTTGTATAGATGGAACATCGTACTTGGACGTACAATAAGAATTATCCTAATCGGAGGGGATTTCGGGAGGATTTTGTAGAAGGGGTTGATGACTTTATTAGACATGTAATGTCACTTTCATCATACCAAATTGAAGGAGTAATTAGGTGCCCTTATGTCAATTGCGATTGTGTGAAGTTTAAAAAATCGGAGGAAGTTAAGCTTCATCTTTATAGGAAAGGATTTATAGAGAATTACTTTGTGTGGACTAATCATGGAGATATCGATGGTAGGCGTGGAATATTTCATAACATGATTGTTGATGAAAGTAGTAGGTCGGTGGAGAATATAAATCTTGATTCTAGAAATCGGGATATAGTTGCGGATGCTTTTGGGATGCACTCCGGGGGTGAGCCCAATGAAAATATTGAACAAACTCCTAATGATGATGCAAAATATTTTTATGAACAATTAGAGGAAGCTAGTCGTCCACTATATGAAGGAAGTTCACACTCTGAGTTGTCTGTTGCAGTTAGATTACTAAGTATCAAATCTGATTGGAATATTTCAAAAGCGGCCATGGACTCTTTCATTGACCTTATGAGTGAACTAGTTGACTCAAATATCAACTTACCTGGTGATTTCTATAAGGCAAAGAGATTGATTTCTAAGTTAGGACTTTCGTCGATGAGAATTGATTGTTGTGAAGATGGTTGCATGTTATATTATAAAGATGATGCAAATTTAGAAAGTTGTCAATTCTGTGAAAAGCCTCGTTTCCAGAGGCTTTCCAGCGGGAATATGGTCGCTGTGAAGGCGATGCATTATTTACCTCTTATACCTAGGTTAATGAGGTTATATCGGTCGATAAGTTCTCCTCCTCATAAAAGATGGCACTTTGAAAATAGAAGACCACTTGGTGTTATGTGTCATCCTTCAGATGGAGAAACTTGGAAGCACTTTGATAGGACATATCCAGATTATGCTAGTGAACCAAGGAACATTCAGTTAGGTTTGTATGCGGATGGCTTCATGCGTTTTTCTATATCTGCGACACCATATTCATGATGGCCTGTCTTTCTTTCACTTTATAATCTACCACCTATGTTGTGTATGACTAATCCATATATATTTTTAAATTGTATTATCCCCAGTCCACGTAATTCAAAAAGTTTGATTGATGTATATTTGCAACCTTTGATTGATGAGCTTAAACAGTTGTGGTATGATGGTGTTGAAATATATGACATATCAAACAAGCAGAATTTCAAATTGTGTATTAATTTAATGTGGACTATTAACGATATTCCTTCGTATGGAATGTTGTGTGGGTGGATGACTGCTGGGAAGCTAGCTTGTCCTTACTGCATGGAAAATGGTAAAACGTTCGCTTTGAAATATGGCCGAAAGCAATCATGGTTTGATTGTCATCGTCAGTTCTTACCTG